GACTGGCCCAAGGTCACCCAGCTGGCTTTGTGCCTAGGCAGGACTAGAACTCATGGTCTCCTGGTTTTTAGCCTGATGCCTTAACCACTACACCAAACTGGTTTTCATCATATAGGTGGCTATATAAGTCCTGTAAATAAATAAATAAACTTTGTCATATAAAGCTTGTGCTAACATTACCAATGAAAAGCTTGAACGTAACATATTTTATGCAAATAAATCTTAACTAAGATTTGAAAAAAAAATCAAGTGTAGTGCCCTTTGTTAAGAGTGACAAGACCAACCAATTACTCAAAATTGGTCTTCTTCTTGTGCCCTGCACATACGAGTACATAAGCTAGTAATGTTTATGTATTATGGAATATGTTTTCTGTGCATTTATTTACCATGCTAACAAATACCTTATGAGTAATATTTTCTACTGCATTTACAACTGAGATCTGTTTTAATAGAAAGCATTTATACTCAAACCAGTTTGGGTACTCAATTTTCACCACTCCTTATTTACTGCAGGCTTCTACTTCATATCCTGTTTTGTTCCAGAAAATTAACACAGAATAGGGTGAAAAGCATATGGGAGTAAGGATCAGCAAAATGAGGATGTCCTGCTAAGTCAAACCCACCATTCAGTACAGACCCCTGATTTAAGGAGCAGTGGGAACAGCAGATATGTAAACATATCAACCACCATGCACAACATAACATAATATATCCACACAGCAGCTATGCCAGCAGAAGTCTTTTCCATCCTGGAACCCTCCAGATGTGGACTATACATCTGGCTGTAAATTCTGGGAGCAGAAGTTCAACATGTCTATAGGGCAACAGGTGGGGTAATGACTGTTATCCAGTTACCCCGGTGTAAGATTTGATGCACATAGCATTCCTGACCTTTAAATGGTCAACAATGCTTGAGATGCCATGTAGAATGGAGCTATCATCTCCATTAATGTAAAAAGGGAAACCTGCTCATAAGACAGCATAGTATGCATTATGGGATGTAAGCAGAACACTCTACATTAGTAGCAAATGAGTTCAATAATCTAAGAACAGAATTTCTCTTAAATCCATTTTCAACTTTTTAAAACTGATTTTCGGAAAGCTAAAAAAGTAGGACCACCATATGCAATTGCTTAAGCTTAGACAAGAGATTTTACTAGTCCAATACAATTTTAACAACTAATTCCCAAGCAATATCCTGCACTTTTCACATTTAGCTCAGATTCAAAAGCTCTTATGCTGAACTGCACAGAACTACACATTCCAAAGGGAACTAGTTTAAAATAAAGGAAAGGAAGCATGGGGTGTCCACAAGCCCTGGTCATTTGTTATCAAAATGACAAAAGCAGTGTTGTATCGTAAGCTCTGCCCCTTTTGGATCTGCAACACTGCTTTTGTCAGACTGACCTGTTTGAACCACCCCCTTCCACCCGCTAATACTGTTGAAAGGACTCATGGAAATATTTTCATATTTCTATGGATCCTTGTTAACAGTGTTGTTCTTAGCCAAGAAGCTAGAGCAATAGATTCTGCCTTAAGTTGTCAGTATTTATCTTATTATCTCCACCTATAAAAATACAATGTTTCATGCAGTGAGGGTGAAAGCAGTACTAATTTTTCCTTAGGAAGTAACAAATTCATTTAATTTGATACAGAAAATGCATCAGTATGGTCGCTATCAATTGCATACATGCCCATACAAAGAGCAGCTGTATTTTTCTGCAGAAGCTTAAATGATGATAATCATATCCTATTAAAACCATTCAAGAATACTGCCTAGTCTGGACTGATTCCAAAAAATGCCAAGTTTCTCTGTCGTCTAACCATCTGTCTTGGCTACAGCAAATGTGTTCCAAATATATATACTCTAAAATGCGAACGAAACCTTTCAGAGCCATTCCATATCAGCACTCTAACACAGAGTGTCTTTATTAGGCCATCTGCATTTCATTCACTTTTTAAAAGATAAAAGCACTGTACAAAAGGTAGCTCTGGAAATCCTTTCGTCTAATCAATCATGTTTTTACTTCAAAGTAGTTTGCTTTTTTCAATATGCCAGCCTTTAGAATTTTATAGATATGTAGCAGTTTCCTCACCATTTTGCAAAACAAGCTTTAGGAACAAGCTTAAGAAACTTTAGTTTCTTGAGCAACGTTCTCTGAATATCAAATTTATTTATTTAACCATAATTAGGCCTCCCCCCCCCCCAAAAAAAATTCTTCTTGGCATTTCAAGAAATGTGGTTAATTTCAAAAGCACTTTGTGATGTACCATAAATCTCTGCTAATTAAAGAAAGTAAAACTTTTCACTGGGTATATTGAAGATTTTTGTTTCCCTCTTTACAACTCATCTAAATCTCTCTTTAATACATGACTTTAAAATAAACCCTCAATATCATAGAGTTTAAAATGATATTTTAAGTTATTTTAAATGCTGAAAATATTTTAAATGAGTTTTGGAGTCCAGCAGATATGATATACAAGGGTTTGTAAGTAGTAGAAAAAAGTCATAACTCATTACATTATGCAGTTCTAAGCTTTCTTAGAAGTGGTACTTGGAACTTAAGTACCTCAGACGTTGGCCACTCACAACAATTTTGGAGTTTAATCAATCTTGAGAAGCATATCCACTGCAATAAATGTGTCATAACTACATACAGCAAAGCCAACTGCCCATATTATCCCTAAACTGTTTTGTATTTCTTTATGATTTAAACATTAGAACTTTTCTTACAGGAATTAAGTTCCTTTTATGAACTCAAAACCAGAAATTCTTCAGTTCCTTTGCCATCTGGGTGATACTTGCAACTTTTCATTGTCAATTTACACATTTCACATCCACCTTGATTTTGTTTAATAAAAGAAATGATTTATTTTAAATATTAGTTCTGCCATTTCATGCAGTGGGAAGATAGGACACAGAAACTGACTTTAGTATATTATGATCTGTGAGACAGTAGTTGTGGGAAGCTGTCCAGAATAGGCAAAATTACATTTTTCCTAAATTCTTCTTCTTGACACTGGTTCATGTCACTCATTATTATCTAACTTTAGTAGCAGAAAAACATTAAGCTTGTCATCAGGTATTTTTCAACATTATTACTTGTAAAGGTTTTATGCAAAGATTCCAGGAGTTCTACCTTAGAGATTATAGATCCAAAAGCACTTTCTTTATCAGGGTAATAAAAGAGGTACAAAGTAACTGCCTGCATATTTTTCCATGCATCATTAAATGACTTACTGTTTGTTTTTGTAAAGAATAACTGGAAAAATCATAGATACAGATCTACAAGCAGTATTATGAGGAAATAATGAGCATTATGTCTTTTACCTGACCCAGTAAAATTGTCAAGAGATCCGTCTCCACTTGTTGTTGTTGTTGAGTCATTACTGTTCATAGGCTCCGTTTTGACTGCGAGAAGAGACACTATATAGAAGAATGAGCAGATATGAGATTGTATTTCTAAATTTATATATATCATGCCAACTAAAGCAAAAAAAAAAAAAAAAAGAATTTGAGGTGTCAAACTATGCATACAGTGGAAAAAATTAGTAAGATTCTTAGAATAACCTTCAACCATAGAACCACAGCTTTAAAACCATGCACAACTTTTTAAAATTAAAAATGCTAATGTTTATCCAATTGAACTGAATATTATTTTATCTTGATCTAGTCTTGTCAAAAGAAGAGAGAAAGCTACAACTACTTTCAATAAATTCTTCAAACATTCCTCTAACAAAAAGAATCAGGGCTTTTCAAGACTATTTTAACAGAACAAACACTTGGTATTTATTTGTAATGAGCAATTCAAAGGCTTTTTCTCAACATAAATGATTTAGTGACAGGAAAATAAATACAACTATTCCTGTCCTTTGGGTGGCATCCAACTAATATGGAAGTCCTTCAGGTTCGAAGAAGACACGCTGTTGTGCAGTTCATCTGTGCTGACACGGAGGTGGTTCTGCAGTCCCAAGCGCAGAGTCTAGCACAATGGGGGCACTGGAAGTCCATTGTGGTAGTAAATTCCTGTCCTTTGGGTGGCATCCAATTAATATCCCCATGTTAAAGGAAGGCATCCATTAGAAGAACAGAATACCTCGGGTTACGATCTTAATCTGTTCCGTGACTCTGGTCGCAACCCAATTTGGTCGCAACCCAAAGCAAATTTTCCCGTAAGGTTCAATGTAATTACCGTTAATTCATTCCGGCGTCCACGGACCACGCGTCGGGGCGGAAAAATGGCTGTGGACCACGTGCCAGGGCGGAAAAACGGCGGCGGACTACGCGGCAGGGCGGAAAAACGGCCGCGGACCACGTGGCATGGGCGGAAAAACGGCTGCAGACCACGTGGCATGGGCGGAAAA